AATATATGATAGAGAGAATGACACATTATGTGTTGGCATGATGTTCTTTGATAAAAAAGTTGACTATGTTTTAAATAGTCCAATAATAGATTGTCATGATGTTAAAAATTATGTCAACCATTATACTCGTGCAGCTTGATTATCATCTAAAAGCTCTTCTAATTAGAAGAAACATTTTCATAAAATTAGTCGAACGATTTAAAAGCAGTTTTTGGATTTTAAAAACTATTTTTGATTTTTCAAAAGTCAAGCCAAACGGCCCCTAGGTTTGAAAGCTTCAAGATGGCAGGATTTCCTTGTCAAAATTTTAGCAATCAAACCAAACCCTGCCTCCTCCTGAACATTCTTGGGAATTAAGTAATCATCAAATGTTAGGATTGTTTAATCATCGGGAATAAGGTGTGCCACAAAGTGAAATGAAAACAATAAAAAGTAAAAAAAAAAAATCATATTATGATGATTTGCAGGAGAGATCATGGGTAGCATCAAGCGACACCCATAATTATGGCCCAAAACAAAGTAATTATTTGATTAACCGTTCATAAAATTAGAATAATATTATTTGCAATCGCTCATTACCGTAATCTCCCTACGTGGTATACATGTAGCGGTTAGTGATTTAACATATGAGGCAATAAACCGTCACATATATGTCACATAAAGCGACTACAATAATGAACGACTGCAAATAACATTACGCATAATATAAAGGTGGACCGATCTTTTTGTATGAATCCAAGATGTGAACCATCTATAGAATTGCCACTACACGGTGGATGAAAACTATAATTTTCAAGCTAGCGGAGTGTAATTTTCCAAAGAAATACAATGCCATTCATTAAAAAGAAGGTCGCATTAATGATATGCTCCCATTTGTTTCTCATTTTTCATCCATAAAAATGATAAATATAACCGTTATACATCACACCAAGTCATCAATTTTGAATTTCTATATCTTGTGTGGGGCCTAATAACTATTATATTTTTTGAGGAAATTACACCTACACCTAGATTTAGATTTTCAATTTCACAAATAAGGTCACAAGTTTAACATTTCAAAAATCAGGTTTTAATTAAAATTTCAAAATATTTTTTTTATTTAATTAATCTAATCAAACCCTAATATTAATAGGTACAAACCGACAGTCTCTCACCCATTTTCACCCATCGCCGCCTCCCTCTGCCGTGAGAGAGCTGTTGCTGTTTTTCTCCTCCTTTTTCTTGATTGTT